CGTCGCATTAAATATCATTGTTTCCAAAAATGTCTAATATGTGACATTTTGATTCCCCAGAGATTAGGATGTTAAACTGTATTTTTATGTATACAGCATGCCTTCGCATTCAGCACCATTTTTCACTGCTCGGGCTGACAGCATTCTGGCAGCATCGTTGGCGAATCCCAGTCAACTATAAACTCCCAGGCTTATCTTGAGATATTTCGTTAGGAAAAATCTCTAGCGAATAGTATGCAGCAATACGCTTTAGGGCCACCCCGGAACATCAACACGTCACTTACGTCCTGCAAGCATTTTTAAATGGCGTAGGTACCCTGCCACGCAAACATTCCTGACAGTGAGACTGCTGATCGCCTTGCCAAGACAAGCAGCCTGCAGCCAACCCCAAGAAACATACTTTATTTTATTATATAAGACGTGCTTGTCAAAACAAACTTACGGTTCCGAAGCACTCAGCAACATGGATGGGATTTGCGGCATCACCCACAGTTAACCTCAATCAAACCCATCCTGGCTGCCATACTGGTAAACATCTCAACAAGACTCACGCTTAAAAGAAATAGTGCTATCACATCTTCGCATCGGGCATACTAGACCCATTCATTCTTCCATAATTGCGTGCATGCCATCATGAGTCTGCTGTGTGTTCCACAAGATATGGGCGTTACGGATGTTTTATTTTCCGCACATTTGAACTGAAGTGAATCGCTTTCTTTTACCCTTGAACTTCACAAAGCGGGCATATATCGCATAACTCTGCTTCCCCCAATCCTTTTGTGATATTGACACCCATGCTCATCTGTAACAACTAATCAGCGGGCAGTCTCATCTTCAATGCAGGTGCATCGCTTCAAGAGAGCAGTCATCACTCAAACGAAAGCCCTTGACACCGTAAGTTCTAAAATATCTCCAGTTTTACAATAGCCCTTTATGGTCGCTTAAAGTCTCCGTTACAGTTGTATGGTAAGACCGAGGAAGTCTTCTCCTTTCAAATATTGCGAAGACCGCAAACGACTACACCCATGGATCACTCGACCTCGTCTGGCCATGGGCCTTGATGAGCGACACCTTTCGCAGTGTTGTTATCATAAATGAATGTCGCAAGTAATATTACACAGTCATGTTTGCTTGCTATAAGCGCCTTATGATTCGAACTGCATCAAAACCCGGGCCTCTAGAACTTAACGTTCGGCCCTGCAGCGCAGCACCAATTACTCAAAACATGCGCAATTGGGGAGCGTACCGAGTGTGACGAGTGTCTCGAGTCGGATGCTTGCTACACAAACTGTGTCGAATATTTCAAATGTGCTGCATGCCTCAAACCGATCGCCAACCATACACACGAAAGTACTGAGTGCACTGACTCTCGAATCAACCGCGAACCAAACAATGCTGGTGGGGAGGGGGGTATCGAAGATGTCAATTATCGTCTACAAACTCTTTTCTCTAGAGTCCTGGGCTGATACATAACGAATTGGCCTATGTTACGCTGTTGTGCCATTATCTTAAAGTTTGATCTGCCCTTTTGAATGCCATTTTGCGACCCATTCAGCCCAGCGCAAAACTCCCTTGAACAGTTCCCGAAGTTCGACGGCTATCGAGCGCGGCACCCTTCCAGCGATTATCCACTGGGCCCGCGGGAGCCCCCGCACCGTGCTCGCCAGCGACTGACTGCTGTAGTCCAGCGTAGCGCGAGCACGACCGCGCCAAACCGAGTGGCACCGGCCAACACTTCTAGGTGCAGGTCAACAGTTCTAGCCGTAGGCCAATAGTTCTAGTTATCGGCCAACGGTCCTAGTTGAAGTTGTTGGACAATGTGCTGGTGTGGAAAGACAAACGCTAAGTTACCGGTGCGGGCAGACGCTCGCCCCGAACGTGATGCGGCGAGAGGAATGTCCTTTGCGGTTCGCGCCGGTCGACTGGCGGCTTTCTCCGCTCTTTGTCCGAGATCTTGTTATTGGGAGAACACGAAAGTTGCAGCCTGACATGCAGATGTCTTCCGGAGCCCTCTCTTCGGCGGGATGTGGTGCCGCGGCCGACTCGCTCATGTGGGCAGTGTCTCCCACCTTCCCAATTCAGTCGTGGCAATCTGTCTCTGGCAGCCGTCTTTACTTCCAGCTCTACATGAGCTGGATCGTTTTAGATTTGCTTTAACGTATGTGGCGGTGACAAACTCGATGGCTTCGAAAGCGCAATTAACTCCGTGTTCGCGATCCGTTTCCAGCTGTTGTTCCCGCCCGATAATGCTAAACGTGATAATTTACGTAGACGTTGATGTCCGGCTTCCGCCAACGTATTCTCATTTCTTCCATTTCATCGAAGCCCCATCCAGCGCACATCGTGACCCTAATGCTCTTCTGCGATTGTAACAATGTCATATGGCAACGATAAGTCAGCGCCAAAAGGGCGATGCATGCGCCCACAGAACTGGCGCGGCCATCCGCCGGAGATGATGGCTAACAGCGAGTCGCAACATTGATATCCCTCGTCCATGTAACGACGGCATGGCACTCAAGCGTGCTTAGAGCCGGTATTAGGACCAGTATTCTCAGTCCCTTTGTAATCGGTCTGATGCCAAGCGCGGTTCCCTAGTACCGGGCGATCTCCCAGCTCGGGGGCGCGATCCCCGCTGAGCCGTCGCTGTGTTGTGATACAGCGCCAGTCGAGGGGACGCACTCCGCGGGCGGCGCGCGGCGGACCGCCTCCCGGCGGGCCCGAGAAGCCGCGCGTCAGGCCGCCTCCCGGCAGGCTCGAGATGCCGCGCGGTGGACCGCCTCCCGGCGCGCCCGAGATGCCGCGCGGTGGACCGCCTCCCGGCGGGCCCAAGAGACCGAGCGGCGGACCGCATCCCCGCGGGCTCGAGGCCGCGCGGCGGACCGCCTGCCAGCAGGCTCAAGAGGCCGCGCGTCAGACCACCTTCCGGTAGCTCGGGGCCGCGCGTCAGACCGCCTCCCGGCAGGCGCGAGAGGCCGCGCGCCAGACCGCCTCCCGGTAGCTCGGGGCCGCGCGCCAGACCGCCTCCCGGCAGGCGCGAGAGGCCGCGCGTCAGACCGCCTCCCGGCAGGCACGAGAGGCCGCGCGTCAGACCGCCTCCCGGTAGCTCGGGGCCGCGCGTCAGACCGCCCCCCGGTAGGCTCGGGAGGCCACACGGCGGACTCGAGAGGCCGCGCTGTGGACCGCAGCCGACCCGCCGCACGCCCAGCCGGCAGCCTCGCATGCAGAGCTGCGGCGCTGAGATCACTCGCAGAGCAGCGCGAGGCTAGTTCATGCATGCCCGAAACCAGGGTGTTGGTTGGCCGGCAAAAGGGTCTTCCGGTTAGGACGGTGCCGCTTTCTTCATTCAAACAGCGAAAGACTCACGCAGCACCATTTATTGACGCCACAAGAAAATGCGCAACTCTTAAGGCACATATTTGGCCTGAAAACTCGGCACAAGGACCGGGACCCCAGTCTGGGTCAGTGACCCCTGGGAAAAACCTTACCTAGCAGTACTCAGATCGAAGCGAACCATACACAGACTCACAAAAAGGCACCTTTGATATTTTTCCTCCATAAATTGCACGTAAGAAGCAGGCTTCCAGATCAAAATATAAAGTATTTCGCGCTGAGATTAAGTACAAGGGCTTAGACTTCGACGTCTTTGCTCACTTCAGTAACCCATCGCATGGATGGCCAAACAAAGCCTGCTTGGCAAATACACACGCCAGAATAGAACAATACAAAAATAGTCTAACAACTAGCACAAACAAAGAAAAAAACACTTGGCGAACACACCAACCTAGAAAACCGCAGTCGCACCCGAATACTCCACGCGCTCATGAAATTTGGCACTCGAATGCGAACAAAGGCCCACGGCGACGTGAAGCGCAGCAATATATGGTGAATGGTCGGCATGGAAGCCGTGTTGGCACTTGACGCGGCCCTCAGCCGCAAACATGGTACGGTAGATGAACACGTCCTGCTCGGACACGCGCCCCCCCCCCCCCCCCCCCCCCCGCCGGCACCCAGTCAGGGCGCTGGCGTACCGCGCGCCGCTACCCTGTAGCACTTACACACGAAAGAAAACTAGAGTATTCTCCCCGCCAGATCCACGCAAATGCAACAATCTCGTTGTTCAATCTCGCTCGCGGCCACGCGGCGCGAAGAAAAATGGCTGCACGCGTCTTCCTGCAGTAAGTATCGGTTGAGATTCAGTCGTGTACGGCCCGCCCGGCCTCGGCTCGGCTCGGCTCAGCTCACCACCTCTCGGCGCACGTGCACACCTCACGTGGCCGGCGCCGACGCGGCGCGGCGCGGCCAGTTAGTCGGACGGTGCGACCGGTTGGGTACTGAGGGCGGCTGCTGCCGAGGCGTGCACGTTACAGGGTGTTAGCTCTGTCCAGCGCGGCACGCAGTCAGTGGAAAGAGAGAGAAAAGTAGTGTTAGTACATGTTGGCTGTAAACGGATCGCACGTTCCATCAGCGGCATAGCGGTATCGACATTAGTAACTGGGCACATGTGTGGCTACTAGACCCAAGGTTCAGCTAGCATTTGAAGTGTTAACCCACGACTGCCGCGACCGCGCAGTCGGCGGTCGCGACTTGCAAACACATGACATATTTACAGCTACTCAAAGCGTTCGGGGCAAACTGGTGAGTGCTACAAGCCCACGACACCCTCGACACTACCCCACACGATGATGACTAGAGGCGGCCGCGGCCGGGGCGGGAGCGGCCGGCGGCGCGGCGGCCGGGCCGGTCCCGCCCCGGCGCGGCCGCCGCACACCCCCACACGACCCAGGCGGGAGAGCGCGCGCCGGCTGCTGACAGAGCGGGGCAAGCGGGGCGGCGGACGGGCAAGCGGCGCGCCCGGCTCCGGCGGTGCAGAGCTGCGCGCGGCGCCGACGTTAGTGGTGCACAAACCCGTTAGTGACGGAGAGACAATTTGCGAGCGCCGTGCCGGCGTTCAGAGGCCGCGGCCGGCCGCGCCAGTCTGGCGGCCTTTTCAAATGCAAATGCAAGATTGAGAGTATTTTTATTGCTTTTCTCGATACATATAATGCCTCTGGTGACCAATAAACATACAAAATGAAACTGGAAATCACTATTTATACAATGTCACCGACAAGCACAACTGGAAAATATCACTTGGTGTGCGTGTGTATGTAAACACATCCGTGCATACATATAACGTTGGGGGTGGGGCGGCCCGGGTCTGAGTATTGGCCGCCGGGGGAGTGTGGAGGGGCCGGGGGGCGGCCGCCGGCCTGCCCCGTCTGCCACCAGCCGGGCGGCCCTGACGAGGAGCGCGTGACTAGGGGCACCGCGCGGCGGTCGCCGGCCAGACGGGTCCGCCGACCGGGACCGCCACCGACGGCTGCGACTCAGAGCCGGCACCCGAGGACGAGGCGAGCGGCGGCCGGTGACGCGGTGCTCCGCGTGTGGTGGGGCAGGCGCGGATCGGGCACGGACACGAGCGGGTCGGGGCACGGCCCTCGCCGCTGGAGGGGAGAGTCGGGTCCGAGGCGCGAGGCGGACGGGCACGAGAGAGAGAGCCAGGAGAGGCGAGGAGAGGAACACGGCGGCGTGAGCCGCATGACAGCGTGACACGTGTAGACTAACCTGCTCCATCAACACACACTACAACTGCGAGAGTGAGCCCGTCCTCTGGTACGGATGCTCACGGACCTGTGCGAACATGCGCCGCTGCTTGGAGGCGGCGACACCTACATGGGCAGACACTGTCAGACCGTCACGCACGTACGCCGATGACAATGGGGTCGAGCGGGGCCCAGCTGGCCCCGCCCGCCCAGCGACACGCACAGGCAGGGGCACAGGCACGCACCACTGGCCCAGCTATGGCACCCTCTGACTAGATGCAATCATTGGGCGTCCCGCCCCACCTCCCGCCAATGTAGACTGACTAGCTACAGCAGATGTTCCCCGCCGCGTGCCGCGCAACACGCCTACTCGGTAGAAAACGTGGAACAAAACATACGAACGGCATTCGCGACGACAAAATCCGTCTGCAATGTACAAAATACAAAAATAAATACAAGCCGCCGCAACGGACGGCGCTCAGATTTGACGGCGCGGCGGGGCGGCGCGCCGCCCGGGCCGCTAGCACCAGGCGATTCAGACACGCCGGCCGGAGCGAGCTCGGACACCCGGCGGGTTAGTCGGGGGTTAGCTGTGACGGGCGGGCGCCGGCCTCGGGCGCCGGCAGACGCGGCGACACGGACGGCCAGGGAGAGACAGAGAGAGATAGACAGAGAGGGGTGAAGATGGAGACAGACAGAGCGCCGTTACGCCAGGCGAGGCAAGCCAGAAGTCCGCTGGTTAAGGGCCGCCCACTGCGCCTTGGTCCCCTGGGGGAAACGCTGGTTATTGGCGTGAGGGCGCGCCGGCGCGCGCCGGCCGGGCCGCCGCCGGCAGTCTGTGAGCGCGTGCGCGGGGTCACGTGACGGCGCGGTTACGGCGACCGTCAGCCGGGTTAGCGCGACGCTCCGGTCACGTGGGGTTCGCAGCTCGGTTACTCCGCGTCGCACGGCTCCGGTAGGAGCGGTCAGTTGGTTACAGAGTGTCAGGGCAAGCCAGTCAGAGCCGGGAAACGGACAAACACGAGCAAAAATATACCTAACTATCTATACTCGATAAGTGTACCATAAAGACGCCCAGCACCTCGCGGGGTAACCCGTGTAAAGCGTGCAGACCACCACCACCAGCGCACACATCAACCTCACATGCAGAGTGACAATGTCGGCGAATCCGTGGCTCTCCGCGCGGCATGAACATGAAATAAGCTTCTTAAAACAAACGGTCAAGGCATCCAATTAAATAAAACGGTTCTGCGGGGACAACACCAGGCGCCGCTGCTACGCACGCCGACCAGTAATCACTACTACACTAGCATCGCGCCGCGGCCGCAGCCGCCGCCGCCGCCGCGGCGCCGCGCCCGGCCGCGCGGCGGACGTCGTGCCTCCACCGGGCAGCGCGGTCGGCGCGCCACTAGGGCCCGGGCCAGGCCAGTCACCGTGCGAACAACCCACCGGTCGGATCGGCTGTGTAGTCGGCCAGGTGGAGTGGCTGCGCCAGCTGGGCGGCGTACTGCGCCGCGTAGTCGGGCGCGTACTGGGCGTAAAGCAGGGCGGCGTCGCCGGCGCTGATGAGCGGCGGCGGGCCCGAGTTGATGAGCGCCGTGCCGGCCGCCATGCGCGGCGACAGGATCAGCGGCGCGCCCAGCGAGGCCGGCGTGCGGATTTGCGAGGTCATCAGGCCGCCCAGGCCGGCCGCCATCTGGGTCAGCTGCAGCCGAGGCGCCGCGTCCGCTGGCGGGGCGCACGGAGGGTCACACAGGGGTGGCGGCTCACCACATCACCATACGGCTCACCACATCACTACACGGCAGCGTCCACTGGTGGGGCGCACGGAGGGTCACACAGGGGCGGCGGCTCACCACATCACCACACGGCAAGTGTCCCCTGGTGGGGCGCAGGGAGGGTCACACAGGGGCGGCGGCTCACCGCATCACCACACGGCAGCGTCCTCTGGTGGGGCGCAGGGAGGGTCACACAGGGGCGGCGGCCCACCACATCACCACACGGTAGCATCCGTTGGTGGGGCACAAGGAGGGTCACACAGGGGCGGCGGCTCACCACCAGGCACCTGTATCCGCTGGCAGACACGGAGGAAGTGAGGGGGTGGAGACGGTAAGGGCGCCCCACACTACGACGCCCGTTGGCAGATAGGCAGCGAGCCGGTGACTGGCATGGGGGCAGCCGCGCACTCTCGACAGCGACAGCTCCCAACAGGAGCGTTGGTGAGGAGCGCATATGTGTGCATGAGGCGGGGGTACGGACGGCGTGGCGGAAACGGCCCGCCACGACGCACCAGCTGCACGTACGGGCACCCATCAGCGCATGAGTGACGGGGTGAGACGGGGGCGTGAACCTTCACCGCCAGGGGCGAGCGGCGGGAGAGGGGCAGGGGCGGGGGCGGGGGCGGGGGCTGAGGTCCGCCGATAGTCGCTACTTTAAATGTGGCGCAATGGGCATGCAGCCAATACCAACGACCTAATCAACACGCGCTCGGTTGTGTACCCAGCCCCCGCCAGCCAAACCACACCGCGCCGATGCCGTCGGCGGCGCCAGGAAGAGCGGTGCGCCTTAATCTCTTCACCCGACACCGGCCTGCTGCCACCGGCGCGCACATCCACGCAAACGAAAACACAGGCACCGCGAGCGGCCGGCCAACAGCCACACGAGGCCGGACCGGGCCGTCAGCGGGCCGTCACCAGACACAACACTCGCACGCACTCAGCGCCGGCCGTCAGGACGGCCGACGTCCGCCGCCTGACGGATGGGGCCGTCACAGCCAACAGAGCGGGGAGCTACTCAGCCACCGGTGCCACTGACGTCTGGCAGGAGAACGTGCCGCTGCGGATGGGCACGCACGGGCGGGGGCGGTAGTATGCTTCCAGGGATCCGAGTAGTAGCTCATGATTCTGAGCAAGACATGACCTAAGGGGGATATATCTAAGTCTCAGCGCACCCTTCCCCCCCCTCCCCCCCCCCCTCAAGCGATTAGGACTAAAATCACATCGAAGACACACGACAGCGACCAACAAGGACAACACTAAGCACAACGAATAGGGGGTGACAGGCACACGGACATCGTCACTGGAGACTGCCAAGCACACAAGTCCGATGCCCTGAGTGCACGGCGTGACGCCCGAGGTCACGTCTCAGTCGGGATCGCCGTCCGTCGGCCGACGACGTCGGGCCGTTAGACGCGGGCCGGTAAGGGTGCGTTCCGTGGGCACCGTGCAGCCCGCTGGCGTTAGTACAGACACCGCCGGCCCAGCACCGTGTTACCTGCTGAACTCGGCAGGCCGGCGCTCAGCGCCAGCTCCGGCGACGGCTCTGAAAACAGACGGCGGCTCTCAGCGGTGACATCTGCCGGCAGCCGCGCCAACTGGCAGTTGCGCAGCCGGCCGGCGCGGCGCCGCAGTCGCTCGGAGCGAGTTAATGTGTTACGTTAGGCCAGACACGGGTCCGTTAGTGAGCCGAGGGCGGGACCCAGCCCGCACAGGCGGTGTCGAATGCAAACAGATCACGAGCAAGCTGGCGGAGAGCGCAGTCTCAGCACGGTCAGTGGCGTGGATTATGGAGAAACGCGCGGCGTCTCGCGTTAGGCCGTTCCTCGGCGCCAGTTTTAATCCAGCGGACAGTGGGGGGTGAGCAACACGGGGCGCGACGCCGGCGGTCGCGGGTCAGCAGCGCGGGCCACGTTAGCGCGTGAGGCGGTGAGAAGAAGCGGACGAGCCGGCTGATCATGCGGGGGCGGACGGTGGCAAGGGCCGGCACTCACTGCTGGAGTCCCGGTACGTGCCGTTGATGATGGCCAGCTCCATCAGCTGGCGCTTCTTCAGCTCGTCCTCGCCGTCCGCCTGTCGGTCAGGCAGGATCAGATCAGGCCAGATCAGGTCAGGTCGGGCTGCACGGTCGAGTCATGCCCACCGGAGGGCAGGCTCACACGTCTCGGTTACTACTCTCCCGCCGTGAGTGCTTACAAAGCACGCACGGCGATGCGAGGATCACCTCCGCACCGCCGTAGCAGCGTGCAAACTGATCGTGAACGGCTCACGTGTGACAGTCGCTTTCCAACGCGCGCCGCTAGCACAATTGACAGCGCGCCTAATGCCGACACCATTCGAAATGGTCTGATAATGCCAACGCCAAACACCAGAAAACAGGAAGACCATACGGTTCCCGTCGACAAACAACACCAAGGATAATTGAGCATGTGGGTAAGCGGGGGCGTGAAATTGCCACGGGTTCCGGCCGTTGAGCACGGTCGGAGCTTGCCCCGCGCTGGACGACACGGCCAGGCAGGCAGGGGCCACACGGACCGTCGGGAGAGGTCTGGGTCTGACAGCCAGCGGGCGGTTCGGCACCCGCTTCAGGTCGTGGGCACACGAGCCGGGAAATGATAGCGAGTGCTGCCGCAGCGATGGCAACTCAGACTGCCCGGCAGGTGCGAGAGTGGCAGACGACGGCAAGTCACAAGGTCAACTGGCGGTTCAAACCGCTGACAGACGGGGGGGGGGGGGGGGGGAGGTGGACAAGTAGCCAGCTCCCCGCCGACGCTCATACCATGAGCTGATCTTGTGCGATGCGACAGCTGGGGACAGGTAACACGGTCGCCCCACCCCCACCCCGCTGCCCCCTCTCCGTCCGCCCCAGGTTCGCTCCCCGCACCCGGCCGCGAGGCGGATGCGAGTCAGCCGCGAACGAGTATCTGGGCGTCGCATCCTAACCGGCGGCCCGCTGCATAGTAACGAGCCGCCCGGCAGGCGACAAGATGGCGCCAGGCGGCCGGACCGCGGGCCCGCCTCCTCCGATCCGCCGGTCCGGCCGGTCCGAGGCGTGCCGCCCCTGGCGGCTCAGTGTCAGAGTCCGCCGCCGGCTCCCGCACACCTGACCGCCCCCCTCGCCCCTCCAACGGGCTGCCCGGCACGCGCACCAGGTGCGGCGGCCGGTGGCGGCTCCGCGGGCGGTCGCGGCCGACATGACCTCGAGGCGACCTCGGCGCAGCCCGAGCCGGGCCCCAAACGTCGCACGTCGCCGGCCTGTTTTCCGTGAGCACCTTCGCCGGCCCGGCCCGCTGATACATATCGATAGCCGGCCAAATAAAGCGAGCGAAACGCGACAGGCCGGCATCAGATGTACCCATAAACGCGCCGGCAAAAAGCGCACAGCATGATAATGCCGCGCTCGACATGCAGGCGGGCGCACCGGACGGTGCCTGACGACACTCCGCAGGCGTCGCCGACACCGGTGGCGCGCTGCCGCCGTCGCCGCCGCCCGGCCCGAGACGGCACGCTGCAGCGGCGCGCAGGCGGGCGCGGCGGGCCGGTGTCTGCGACGGGCGCGCCAGCGACGGCCGGACGCGCCGGCAGCGCGGACCGGTCGACAGGCCGCGCCCAGGCTGCGCCGATGAGCAGCGCCGAGTCCGCGTCGGAGCTTGAGGTACGGAGTTGCCTGTCACGCTCATGACAGGAGTCGGAGCGAGGACCGCGGAGCGACACGAAACGGGGACGGGCACCGCACGACCCGAGAGTCGGACGCGGACGGGTGGACACGAGGGACGAGCCGCGCCGGCGGCGAGACCGCGCCCGCCGGCCGGCCCACCCACCCGAGCTGCGCCTCGCCTCGCGGACGGGCCGCGGCTGACCCGGTCGACCCCGGCGCCGGCAGCGGGCAGCCAGCCGTGTCGGGCGAGCGCGGCGCCCCGCCCGCTGCCAAGAATACGGAGGAGCGGAGCGCTGCCGGCGGCCGGACGCGGCGAAAACAGAGCCGCCCGCCACCGCCGGCCACAGGCCGCAGACGGGCCGCCGGCCGGCAAGGCGCCGCCAAAGAAAGCAGCCGCTGATTAATCGGCGCCGAGCGATCCGCGAAATATCGCCGGCACATCGGCCGCCTTCGATGGCTGAGAAAATATTGACGCGCGCTATTTCGGCGTTGGCTGACGCGACCGGTGCGCTGAGCGTGCCGGCTGGCGGGTGCGCTGACGCACCCCTGACCCGGTGCGCTGAGCGTGCCGGCCGGCGGGTGCCCTGAGCGTGCCGGCTGGCGGGTGCGCTGACGCACCCCTGACCCGGTGCCACCCGCTCGGAGAACGCTCGCCGAGGTCCGACCGCCTCCGCTCCTCCGCGCCGCGTGACGCCGCCGCTCCCGGCCGCGCTCGGCGGCCGCAGCCCATTGTGAGCGCAGCAGCCCCCGATCACGCTCACATTGTGGGCGCGACACAACGCGTCGGCGGCGCCGAAGGCCGACGCGGCAGGCGAGCGTGCAGTTGCGGCCGACGATTGCGAGCGTGACCGGCGGCATCGGGCGGCGCGAGGACCACGTGACCGGCGTTACGACCGGCGTCGGTGACACAGACGCGGCTCGGGTTTATTTATTTACGGGGCCGGCTGCGGCGGCGGCGGCGGCGGCGGCGGGCAAGGTCGCTGTCCGGCCGGCTCTCGCCGGCGCCGGCGCCGCGGCCCGCCTCTCAGGTGCGTCCGGCGCTCCGCCGCGCCCGGGGCGGCGCGCGGTTCCGGCGCCAGGTGCCACATCCGCCCAGATTGGGGCCAAAAGGTGACGGCTGCGCCGCAGCCCCGCCCGCGAAACGGAGCGCAGACACAGGCCCGCAGTCCGGACAAGCAACACCCGATCTTAACGAGCGTGCCACGCGGCCCGACTCGGCGGCCGCGCGTGCCGCCGAATACGGCGGCCGGCCCGCTCCGGGAGCGACCCGACCGAGGCGGCGCCGGGCGCCGGCAGCCGCCGGCCGCCTGTGTACACTACCCCGGCCGCGCGCCCGCCTCGTCCCGCAGGAAGTCACGCCGCCGCCGCCGCCGCATTTTTGCCGACCGTGTGGAAACGTGCCGGGCGCTGCGCGCTCGGCGCACGTCCACGGGGCACGTGTCGACCGCAGGGGCGAGGCCGGCGCCGGTGGCGGGTCGGGATCGGCGCTGTCAGTCCTCAATCAGCATCAGCAGAGCTCCGGTGCTTAGTGTTAAGGGAACGCAATACACGCGGCCGTGCCCCTTTCATGGAGCGCCTGCAACTCCCGAGACCATATAAGCGTCCATGGGCCATGGCGCTACAGAGGTTTCATCCCCCCCCCCCAAACATGCATGGAAGCCGAGGGCCCTAACCACTCGGTGCTCACGCCCCTGGAGCTCCGGTCCGTTCCGGTGCCGATGCGAGGCGGGCGCTGCCTGGCTGGCCCAGCTCCGCTGCTGCCAGCATGTTTCTGACGCGAGCGCGCCGCTCGCGCCGCGCCATTTTCCGGCGGTGATCCAGCGCAGTGATTCACCGCAGGCTCGCGCCGCGCCTGGCCGCAGCGCCGCGAGGAGTCAGCGCGCCGGTCTCGGGCGGGCCGACCTGACCTCGGCACGCCGGCCGGCGTCCCGGTCAGGAGAGGCGCTCCGCACCGCAGCCAAACAGACCGGCCGCACAATGACCGGGGCCCAGTGTTGTTGCCGGTCGGCTTCAGAGCCGTCTTTGTGCCGGCCGCCTGCTGCCGACGTCGGCTCCGCCAGATGGTCCGTCGGCCGGCCGGCCGGCCCGGGAGCCGCGCCGCCGCCGGGGTCGGACTGCCCGCCGCCGGCCACGTTTCGCAAGTGGTCACCACGCCAGCCGGCGGCCGCTGACGGAGCGGCGACTGTTGTCGAGCGTCGGCGTCAGCGCGGCGTGACGCCGGGAAGTTCATGGGGAGCGTCAACGACGTCGGCGGCCTGTCTTCTGGACGGCATTCAGGGCGCGCAGCGGAAGCTCCGGGGACACGCGGCACCCTGCATGTCGGATTCTAAACGCGGGTGCGCCGGCGGGGCGCCGCGTTGCACGGCAACGGCCGCTTCCGCAACCACTGACCCGGGAAATGGCCGGGCCCGCCAACGCATATGCGTAGGTCGTTTACGCGCCACGACCGCCAGCGTATAAACGGCCTGTTTGCCGCGTTGATAGTCGGGCAGGGCACGCGAGGCGGGCCGTCGCCCACGCGCCGCCGCGTCTCCGCCTGGCCGGGCGGGCCGGCGGCGGGCGGGGGAGCGACTGACTCACCGCCGCCGGCCCGGGCAGCCGCTCAAAACCAACAGCGCGCGCGGCCGGCGCCGATGGAGGCGCGCCCCGCGCCAGCGTCGGCGCTGGGGCGCGCTGTCACAGCCCGCCTGGATGAGTGGCGCGCTCGCCGCGCCGAGGCGGCCCGCCGCCGACCCCGGCCGCTGCCCGTGACGTGCGCACCCACCACTGCGGACGCGGCACGTCTCGCGCCCGAGCGGCGTTGTGCGGACCTCCGTGGCCCGGTGCCGGTCTCAGGCGGTGGCCGTTGTCGATCGGCGGTCCCCTCCTGGTGCTCGGCGTGCGTCACCCGCCGCCGCCAGCCGTCATCGTCGGCGTCAACGTCGTCGGCGGCGAAGGCACACTCACCGACGGCACCAGCAGCTTCTTGATCTCATCGACAGCGCGCTGCAGCTTGGCGGCCGCCCTGTTCTCCGAGTCCTCGACGGTGATGAGCACGTGCAGCTCGTCACTCAGGTGTTCCCAGTTGGGCTTGCCGCGGTTCTGCTCCTCCTGTCGACACACGAAAGCATGGGTTAGCGCCGCGCCGCGTGCCGCGCGGCAGAAAGCCGCCGCTCGCCCCCAGCCCATGTCGCCCGGTCGGCGCTAATCGCCGTTTTTCATTCCCAAAAAGGCAATGCGCCGCCGCTGAGCTCGCGGGCAAAAAGTCGAGCATTCGCAGCCGCCGGCCGGACCGTTGGCCGCTACCGTTAGCGTCATGGCGGCCCGGGGGAGCGGCCGGGGCGGCCGGGGCCGCCGCCGCCGCCGGCGGCCGCTGGAGCAGCGCGCGCCACCCGCCGCCGCCGCCGCTCGGCACGCAGGAGCGCGACCGCACGGCCACGGGAACGGCGTCCCACGAGGGCCGCACGTGGTCCGCTTCCCACGTGCGTCAGACGGTCGTGAATCCGCCGGGACAGGTCACACCTCGTCGGGTGCCACAGGCGCTTCGTCGGCTCGGGCGGGCGCTGGCGGCGGGTGAGAGCGTGCCTGTGTCGTCACGGGCCGCTGCGCAGTGGAGGACCGCTTTCCCCGAGGTGTTGCAAAGGGTCAAGGGGCCCCCGGTCACTTGAAGTGCGGGTCGTTCAACCACCATATAGACGAGTCACGTCGTGACGGCGCCAGCCGTGGGCTCCGCCGCGGGGTCACGCGGCGGGGACAAGTGGTCCGAAGGCTGAATGTGACGTCACACCTAGACGCACTTTCGCCCAGAAAAGAAAACCGTGCAAATTTCGTCTGCTTTCCAACACCTTTGACTCGCTATCCTTGCGCTAGATCGCAACGCAGCGAAGTACTGTTCGGAAGGCGAAGCGTTTTCCGCTCTATGACTTCGCGGCCGATATTCCACCATCTGGCCAATTATTACGTCATTTGCCGTTTGTCTACCCACTTTCCCAGCCACTTGTTAACAACTCAAACGCAGCATCGCTATTGCTTGTCCCGCACAGGATCTGCTCCGATAGAAAGGAGTTGGACCAACACACAAAGTACATTCCGCCAAACATTTGCCGCGGGCAAGGTGAACGATACCAAGAGCACAAAGCCGGAGAAGTGTTTTTAACAGCGTCGACCGTTTATAAGAAACCTCTCAGCGGAAGTCGGTTCCAGAGCAGCTGATATTCGATACGATGGTTGCTAGGCAACGCGGGCAAGTCGTCCATCTCCCTCGCGTTGGGCGTTTAGGACCGAGCCAGCGGGGTATACAAATGGCGTGCACTCGGACGCCTGGCAGCGACACAGGCAAGGACAAACCGTGGCTGTTTGGGGACCGTCATCATGATGACTCGGCCATTCGCGGGAGAATCCCAGACCCTCCTGACTTGGAAGGTTTTCTTATCTAAAACCTTTCTTCTGGATCTGCCTCCCTGTTTCCAAATGACGCAATTTCGGCCGCCCTTATGGGTATGAAGAAAGCGTAAACATCAGACCGTGAGTCTGAGGAATTAAATATTCCAATATAATGCAAAAAGGTAACACTTATCACAACCAAATCAGGCAATTGGCGTGTGGTGTACCTGCTCCAAAGAACAGAAATAAAACGAGAGCAGCACGCCTCCACCAAACACGCCGGCGGCCGTCGCTGTTCAGATGGCCGAGCCGTGCCGAAAGCGGGGGTCCGGGACAGCCGGTAGGCAGGCGCGCCTGGTCGCCCAGCGCCGACGCCGGGCCTCCCGCGCTGGCGGCCCGCCGGCGCCGAGCGACGGCGGCAGGTGCGTCCCCCCCCCCTTCCCCCTCTGATCAGGTGCCGGCGCCTGGCTCCAGGGCTCCGGCCGCTCTCCCTCCATACACAGAGCGTCGATTATTCACGGCGGCGTCTGTCTGCGAGCAGGCCGGCCTCTGTCGGCGCGGCCGACACCGGTCGGAGACGCTGGGAGCGGACACTCCCCTTCTCTATCCGGTGTGGAGGGGAGTGGGGCGCGGCAGCGAAGCCATTATCTACCGGTCCAGCCACGGGAACCCGGGCGAATGCATTGACATGGCGCACCGGGGTCAGGCGGGTCGGGAACAAAGACATTCTAGTTTGCCTGCATGCAAGCAGCATCGAAGAAGACTAGGCCACACTTAGTAGGCTTAGGAGCTCAAAAGCCGTTAATTTGTGGTTACGCTCTTCCTCGAAGCTCACCCACTGCAAGTGAACCATATCTTTTCTAGCCAGCTAACGGAACAAGTTACATCACGATGAAGGTTACGAAAATATGTTTGCAACCTTGCACTGATCCCCCACCCACTACCGCCCCCTCTCTATTTGGAGCTTCGCAGGGAGCTTTGTTTGGCTCCGCAAAAATCAAAGGTTTGAAAGGGAAAACACATCTACTGTCATGCGGGACCATTCGTATTGACTCCAGTTTAGACTTCGCATTTCTTGACTTTCCAGGGGAGCACGTCGAAGCCGCGTGGACCAGACGCCCACGGCGCCACGTCGGGCGCAGAAGGCCAGCTCCAGCTGAGGCGCCGGGACCGCGCACCTGGTCAGTAAGCTGCGCGGTACCGTAAACACCGGCCGACAGGTCGCCGCCCACGCCGGCGCCGCCACACCGCGGCCGGCAGACGAGCCGGCCGCTGCAGCGACCCCCGGCGGCGCGGCGGCGGCCGTAAAGCCGACCGGCCTCCCGCTCGCCTCCAGCCGACCGGACCCGCGCTCGCCGGCTTCCCGCCGGATAGTTTACTCGTTTACCATGAGTGCACACCACTCAGCATACAATGCAAATTAGTCGCTGATCGCCAGGCCGGTCACGCGCGCGGCCGCGTGATAACGTGGTCGGACTATGCTCGGGCACGGCCGCCGGAGCCGCGCCGCCGGCCTCTCGCCGACCGCGGCCGCTCCGGCCGGCGGCGGCGACGCGGCGCACCGGCTCCGGCGCCCGTTCCCATCCTCATTAGCCAGCCGGCGGGCGCGGCTCGGCCGGCCGGTCGGCCCGGGACCAGGACCGCCTCATGGCCCGGACGGGTTGGTTCCGTCCCGGCACGGGGGCCGCCTGACCGGACGTCGGCGCGCTCGCCGGACCGGCGCCGCCCACGGCCAGACACGTCCGGGGTGCGGCACACGAGGGCGACGGCAACGGACGAGCCCCCCCCCCCCCCCCCGCCCGCCCGCCCACCTCGACTCACGGAGAGGCTGAGGGAGAGACGCCTCGCCTCAGGGATAATTCCTGGTGACGTGACGGGGATGTTGAATCGCGGTTGACTACTCATAAAAACGCCTTTTGCACGCTTCGCTGAATCGCCAACAGTGGTCTGGGCTTAGCCAAAGCCTACCGTAAGACGACGGTCACCCTTGTTTACAGACGCTGTGAAAGCACGTGCATTGTGCCGCCGGCCAGACGGGGTATCAGTGGACAACCCTGAACCAAAGCAGAGCTACATCTGAAGCCGTCGAACCGCAGCCTGTCGCCCGCGCCCCAGCTCTACCCCGCCGCCCCTGAACACATCGCGCTGACTGAACACGACAGCCGCCGCCGATCTCGGCCAGCTAAACGCTCGCCGCCTGCAGGAGGGCATTACAGCGGTGCGGCGAAGGCGGCCGCGGCGCCGTCCGCCTCCGACCAGGACGCGCCGCCGCGCCGGCAGCCGCGGCGCGCACCAGCACGCGCGGCCCCGATCTCCCAGCACGCCGGACCAGGCCGGCGCTGACAGCCGGCACGCGCCGCCGGCCGGCCCACGTGACCGAAAGGCGACGAGCGCGCGCGCCGGCCGCGTTGCAAAACGGCCGCCGCCGACGGCGCCGACCACCGCCCGGCGACGGCGACGGAGGGCCGCCGCGCCGCCGCCGCCGCCGCTCACCCACGTCCGGCGGGCGCGGCCGGCGCCGCCCGCCCGGCCGCGCCTCTCCAGGTGAGCGGTTTGTTTAGCGGAGAGCGGCGCGGCGGCCGCTGCGGCGCACCGACACAGCGGCGGCCGGCGCCACCCCCGGCCGCGAGCGGCCGCACGACACCCGCCGATCATCTCTCACAGTTGACAAAGCCGGCCGGCCGCCGATAATCATCACACAATGGCCGTTTACGCCCGGCGCCCGCCGACGGCCGGCCGGCCCGCCGCTCGGCACGTCGGAGCGCAGGGGAGCTGAGCGCGCGACCGCGTCAGTCGTCTGGTGCGAGCGGATAAACGAGCTCGTGGCCCGGCGAGACGTCTAGAGGCTATCCCGGCTCCTGTTTATTGCCCTCGTGCCGCGACCGTACGAACAAATGGGTCTGTTCTTGCGGCGATCTCTCCACCTGCTCCAGGGCGTGAGCGTGACCGCAATATTACGCTCCTGAGAACCGCCGTCTCGAGTGAGGTGACAAGGTCCGACCGGCCGGTGCGGGACTCCCCACAGTGACCAGCCATAAACTGCAGCGGCTGAACGCCCACGGCGGGCTGGTCTGGCCCGGCGACCCTGACCGCGGCGGTGACCTCCGGGACCGGCAGGCCGGCGCCTGCCCCACCGCCGTCCTGCGATCAGAGCCAGAGCGGCTGGCCTGCGCCCCCCCCCCCCCCCTCCGTCGCCCCGGCGACAGCGCCTGTAGCGACCCGCCGGCGCTGAGCGTAGTCCAGCCGTGGGGTCCCCGGCTGGCTCTCCGCCCGCCATCGCTGGTCCCGAGGACGGACTCCCGGCGGCGCTCTCCCCCGGCGAGCAGCGGCCGGCCGCCGTCGGGCATCGCACGCGCTGCAGAGTGCGAACCGATCGCTTGGCGCACGCCCTAGCACCTGCCGCGCCGTGTCGCAGATGCTGGACGGGCCGACCCCATTTATCACCGGCAACCGACGGCCGACAGGCGATTCCAATTTCCGGGCATATCCAGAGCACGCGCCGCGCGTCGGCCGCGCGCTCGGGAGCATCGCTCGTCCCAGGCGCGCCGCCTCCGCCGGGGGCCGGCCGCCTCCGCCGCGACCAGAATGCGGCGGCCGTTGAATGCGGCGGTTACAGCTGACGCCCCACAGCGGGCACGGAGTCCTGCAGACTGCAGACGATCACAGGCGGCCACGGCAGCTGAGCTCTGCTGCACGGCGGCGGGGCGCGGCCGGCCGCGGCTCGTCGCCGGCCGGCGGCGGCTCACCTTCTTTTTGTCGCGCATGGAGCCGCGGCCGCGCACCATGATCTTGCAGCCGGTCTCCTGCTCCAGCTGTTTGGCCGTCATCCCGCGCGGGCCCAGGATGCGGCCCACAAAGTTGAACTGCAACAGAGCGGACGCACGATGTCACGAGCGGGCGGGGCACGAGCATGGCGGCGCAACGACCACAAACACGCCGGCCGCCTCTGCGGCCCAACCATAGCCGTCACCCGTCAGCATCGGAGGCGCAACACCCACGCAGACAAGCGTACCGGCGCAGTGCGGTACGGCACGGCATGGCACGGCACGGCACGGCACGGCACGGCACGGCGCGCGCCGACAAACGGCCGCAAGCAGCATGACGAACGTCGGCGGCGACCGTAATCCGACAGCAGCAATGAACGGGAGCGGCACACACACGACGGTCGGCATTCCGGCACGGGCGCGCACGCCGCGCCGGCGGCACAAACAAAGCCAGCGGCGCGCAGACCAGACGCGCGGCGACAACACGCGGCCGCCTGGAATGACAGGGCGGCGGCGACGGGCGACGTCACCCCGCCGGACGGCAAGACTGCCCCGGTCTCTTCTCGTTCTCGCCTCGTTCTCGTCTGCCTCTAACTCTGCCCCTCCCCCGGCACCAACGCAAGGACAGGCGCCACGTCATATGGCGCGGTCTTGAGACGCGTCGTCTGCAGTGGGGAGCTCGGACAGTTGTTTGACGCTGCGCGTAGCGATGCCAGCGGCTGTCACACGATCTGCCGCCGCCGTGGACGTGACGTGTGACGTGACGTGACGTGACGTGACGTGGACATGTCGCGATGTCGTATGGGCGGGGGCTGACCGCGAGGCGAAGGGTCCAAAGGCGGAGAGCTCGATCAGCGAGCGCGGCAGCGAGCCGTGAAGGAACAGGCACGACTTCACTACGTCACGTTGAAAAATAGCTACTACGTGACGTCGGCCACAGCCGCATTCTTCACGATCATCCGGCCACGGCCTCAGTTTCTTCCGTAAACTGCGACTTCGCCACCGCTGGTGGGAGTACGGCTGGATGGCCGCCTAGGCCACCGCGGCCTCGCAGCACGCGGCCCCGGCGGACGCCGCGGGACGCACGCCCACCTCGAGACCACCCCCGGACGGCACGGCCGGTCGCCGGAGATTGGTTTTGGGGCCGCTTTCATTCAGAGTTCCAAAACTGCCGGCCTCTGTCTGTTAGCCTGTGAGCCTCTGGTCGCTTTCCGAGGAACGCCCGTCGTCTCACACGCGGATGGCGCGGGGTTGGCACCCTATGCAAAAGAAACGCTCGGCGACAGCTTCCTCATATCATCTCACAGTCCTCTTCCTATCATGTTCTTTCAAAATGGCTCTTTGGCAGAATCCTAACGCAGAGCGCAGTGACGCCTCAATGCTCCAAATTCGGATGCCGTCCAAATACGCGCTACCTTCAAAACCTCCGTATGACCTTTCGTGACATCTGTGTCGAGCAACGGGACGAGACTGGCCCCTGGAGATTATTTGCGATAAACCCCAGCCGTGGGACCCAAATCCTGTCCTAATCGTCTGGGTGGGAATCCTAGTCCTGGCGCCTACTTACACGTGAGAAATACCTGATCTAATCTGCGCTCACGACAAAGGTCACGGACTGAGCCTCGCGCACGTCTGATACTGAAATACAGTTCAAAATCCAATAGAAGAGACGCTGAGGAATTATGCAACGCTTACGCTGAGCTAACGACTTTTCTGACCGTCTCGAACTTAGTGAGCGAACGCGCGTTACTCCGTGACCGATCAGGTGTGGTCGGTGCTCCAAACGCATGAGTCCGTGGATCCCACCACTGTGAGGGCTCGGCGCGGCAGGTCGGCCGGCCGCCGCCACCGCGGTCGGAGGGCGGTGCCCGTCGCCGACGGAGGGCGGTGCCCGTTGCTGTCCCGGTGACCGGCGGGGGTCTGGGCGGAGCGGCGGCCGCCGCCCACCACGCCAGCCGGCCCCGCGTCCGTCCGCGTCCGACGACCGCGGCGGGTCCCAGGGCGGGAAGCGGGGAGGCGGACCACAGCCCGCCTCCCGTCGCCGACCGGCCGAGCTGGAGCACACGGCCGCTGTGCGGGATTCGGACCGGGTCGGCCAGCGCCACATCCGGCTCCGGCCGACCGCCGACAGCGCCGAACATTCCGACGTGATGTGGCAGCACAGGCCGAAGATCCCGAGGAGATGCGGCAGCGGCGCGACCGACCGTCCCCAGCGGAATGTCGTCCGTGGCACCGCAATGACGCAATGCCCGCCACGATGACGGCTGCCCGCGCGCCGGCCACCGCCGAATTATCGGAGATTCACATTACGGGAATACGAACGGGAGGACTTCTCATGCGGAGGGCGAATTTAGGCGTGACGCTGCCGCATCGTTTACTGCGGGCGTGGAGGACCGAACCGGGGGGCGACCAGGACGTCGGCGGCAGCTATCTCCGACGAGAGGGAATTTTGGACGGAATGAGGCGGCACTCCGGCGGCGCCGAGTTTCACCGGCGGCGCACATGCTGTGAAGTGCGCAGCCGGCAGGTATCTGGAGCGGCACGCGAACCGCAATGATGGACGACTGTTTACCCGGGAAGGAGGACAACAAATTATGCGGTTCATCTAACGAACGGCGTGCCAGACGAATCAAGCCCTCCCACAGAAGCGCGCTGCCCCATCCAGCCAACGACTTGGAGCAGATCTCCGAGATCACTGGCAATTGGCGGCCCGTTGTAGAGACACCTCTCACTTCCTCCGCAGTGCAGCCACTGCCAACTGCCTGGCCGACCTCAGCAGGCGGCGGTCGGCCTTACAGGCAGCGGACACACGCTTTAATGCAAGCGTCTGGGACGCCAGCTGCACACCAACCGGCTGAGCTAACAGGCCAGCACACGACTGCGGCGCTCGTTGCGTCACTCGTCCATGATGCCAATCAGCTCCAGTTGGGTTAAACAAGCGTTCCGGAGGCGTGCCGCTCCGGAGACGGCGGAAACCGCCCGGGCGGCCGCGGGTCGACCCGGCCCGCTTGGCTGGGACGCTGACGCCTGCTGGGCCGCACAGACGTCTTCATGCGCTCGGGAACCGCCGGGCCGGGCCCCGGAGCGGCCGGCCCACCGACAGCCGGACTGATGTGGCTGCCCGGGCGGAGATCGCCCCCACCAGTCACGCGTCGCGCCGCCGCCCCGCGCTGCAGCCGACACCCGGCGCAAGGCGCGGCCAGCTGCCCACCTCTCCTCCGTGCGCGGCCGGGGCGGAGGCGACGTCACTCGACGCGCGAGGTCGCCCGCAGCCGCCGGCGGGGTGGTGACACGCGCCCTGACCTCTGACCGCACCGTAAGCTTCGTCAACCTCCGCCGCCAGCGCCCGTAGTGGGCGGCCGCTTCTGGTTCGCCGAGTGGGCGGAGGCGGCGGCGGCGCGCGCGCGCGCAGCCAGTCTCGAAACAAAAACTAATCAAGTTTCTGGCCTCCGCCCGGACCCGCCCTTGAGACGACAGCCTATCGACGCTGCGGGGGCTGTCGCAGCCTCGCAGCGAAAGCGGCTGGCGAGGGCGGCCCGGCGCCGAGCGCTGACGACACCGCAGGGCGGCGCCTGCCGGACGCGCCCCACCTAGCGCGGCCGGCCGCCACTGGACCGTGGCGCCAGCCCAGACGGGCTGGTCGGTGGATGTCGCCGGCCGGGATGCAGCTTCGTGATGCGGCGCGTTCGCCACCGCGTTCGCCACCGCGTCCGCCACCCCGTCCGCCACCGCACGGGTGCCGAGCTCCGCACCGGACGACGGGGCGATCGCTCGCATGCGCCGCGCGCCGGCGACGTCCTCGGCGCCCGCGCTGGTAGCAGCTAGTACGCTGTCCTCTCGCTCGCCCTCACCGGATGAATGACGCATGCGTGATGCCGTACGAGCGGCGTGCACCCATTTGGACATTGGTATGCTGCACGAGTATGCGATTATGCATTCGCGCATTTATAACACGTGGAGCTCTGACCAAAAATAAGTGCCGGTTCAGTGAGGTTTCACCACTGCAGGCAGGATAACCTCGCCCCGCCTCGACCCCACTTGGCTCTGGTGCTGGCCGAACGCAGACTACTGTCAAGACGTCCTTCGCGTTCATTAGGCGTGCCTCACACTCGGACCATTGTTAGCAGTGCATCCTGAGTGATCGCTCGCAAACACCCTTCCGTCCTTTGTATACAATGAACATCCGGCGAGCACGGTATTGACGGCTGCATCTCTGCGTACCTCGCTCGTCAGGTCAGCTGCAGCCGAGGCCGCCGGCCATCGATTCTCATGTTTACCGTACCCGCCTGACGTCGTAAACTTTCGCCGCCGGGCGTCGCCGGCAGCCGGCAGCAGCACCAGCTCGCGCGGATGCCGACTGCGGCGGCGCGCCGCGGCCCGGTAACTGTACCGGCCGAGCGGTAAACTGGACCGTGAACGCGGCCCTAATGGCGCCGGCGGCGGAGCGACACGCGCAGCCCGCGGCGCTCGGGCCGCCGCCGCGCGACCGTCACGGCCGTCGCCGCCGACTGGCACATTGGCAGCGGCAGGCGTCCGCCGCGTCGGCCGCCGAGAACCAGACGCGCCGGCGGGAGCGGGGAGGGCAGCTGGACGGGGTCGCTGGACGCGGGAGTAGGCCACGCCTGCGACGGCATGTCCGCAGTGACGGCTGCGGCCCGGCGCGACCATAATATGCGGCGAGAAATACCCCGACAGGGCCAGTACGCGTTCACCACGTTGGCTACGTATGGAGCACGGAGGAGCGGAACGGGGCGTCAGACGGCGACTTCAAGGGCGGGTGCCCAGCCACCCACAGCGGGGGACGGAGCTGAACGGAGGAGGCTGGCCGACCGCGGCCGCCCCCAGACATCAACAGCGGGGGACGGAGATGAACGGAAGGGGGCCTGCCGACCGCAGACACGCCAGGCTCCGGCGCTCTCCCTCCGCCGGCGAGGTCGTCTACCGCCCGGCTAAGCCGATCCGTCGGGCGCCCGGTCGGGCCGGCGACTCCACGGCGTCAGCGGCTCGCTCTCGCGTGCCGGGGCGCCCCGCCCGGGCCGCCGCCACCGCCGCCCCGGTTATCACGGTCCGGGCCGGCGGATAAGCGTGCTTCGATGGGG